TTGGAGTTAGATTGCGTAAATATATAAATGTGTCGTTAAACCCGCCACCACGTCACGTAAACGGAACGTTCCAATTCCTGACTAGTACATGTGTGTACCTTTTGATGTAAAGCTTTCGTGACTGCAGTAATTCATATTCTTAGTTTTTTCGGTAAGAGAGAAACAACAACATAATAAAATATATATATATTATTTTGTTGTTTCTCTTCAACGTGACTTTACCGAAAAAACTAAGAATATGTGTGTACCTGTTTCATTTTCACACGTTTACACATGTGCATGGAAATACAGTCCTTAGTAAAAAAAAAATCCATTCATATTTGTGGCCCAATCCCTTGCTGGTAGATTGGCAGTAATCCCTGATTAAGATTACATCAAAGCAATAAACTACTGATTTGTGTGGGAGAGTGTCATTACGCTGACTAAAACCTTAATAAACCATTGCTCATGCCACCGATTTAGTCATACAGAATATACATTTCTCCACGCACATCTGTATGCTGTGTCACTCTCTTTGCCTGCCCCATTATTTTTTGCATAGCCGCATCCTATGGCGACACGGCTATTGATGATATCTGTGTAAGGCCAGTGCTATCACAGAGCAGCAAACCTATTAAGTTCTGGTCAGAGCGCCCTTGCAACATCTGACGATTTAATACGAAATTAGAGATTGTGCGGCAGCCTTGGATATAAAAGCTGGCTTTCTTCATTGTTTACTAAGCAAACTAAATCATTAAGCCTGCTGATATCCAGACATTTGGCCAGTTCACAATTGTATTTTCTGATGCGTTTCAATTGTATATCAGCTTTATGAATGGGGCTATGTATAACGTACGACCGAATATAATGAATTCGTTTACTGAACTCGGCATAATCAATCAAGCAAATGTTTATCGCCCCAAGTAACCCAACGGCCCAGGTTTTTGTGAAAAACAGTTGTGCATAAAATATCAGTTCGAATTTAAATCCTAAAAAGCCTAACAAATTAATTCACGTAAAAAATGCCGACTATCCAATTATATCTTATCAGTATTGATGTTTAAGATTTCACAACATCTGTTTGTCTACATGTCTTTTATCTCCGTATATCGACATCGCTTGTCTATATCACTTTTGTCATCTGGGTAGATTCAATGAATTGAAAGGGGAAACCAAACCAATTTCCTTTTTTCGCTTCGGGCCAGTAAATGGTCTTGCACCACCACTGTGAATATTAGCTTATCCTGGGCTGTGATGTTGATATTCCTTCACCATACGTAGTCAACCGTGCCAATCGGTGGTGTGGGGGAAGGATAACAAACTAAACACAAAAAGCAGTTCTTAAATAAATTAGTTTTCCTTTTAGATTTAAAAGTGCATAGCTCCAATGGCTTCCTAATATCGGATAGAAGAACGTTCCAGACGGCCGCAGAAGTGCATCTGAAAGTGCTGTGGAGGCAGCGAGGGCTGGTTGATCGCCGCGCAAGTGTCGTGACACTCTCTTCCCTGGGCGTCAAGGTACCATACCCGAGCCAGCCACGAGAAGGCTGTCCAGCAAGTGGATGAATCACCATCTGTTTCCATCTCTACGGGGATAGTGTTGCCTCCTTGCCCACGTGAGTTATCTCCGGATGCTTCAATTACCTCCCACGCGTATAAGCACTCAATCGGCTGAACACATCTTGAAATTAAAACCCAATGCAGCACCCTCCCGAAAAAGAGTCATCCGGCTCGGTGTGGCTCTCCTGCACAAGTAAACTATTAAATTAACCCATCTCCTGATGTCTTGTCTTAAAATGTCTCGCGATACAATCTATGCCATCATATTTTAGCGAAAAGGTGTATTGTTTAAAAATTTGTTTAAAATTACTTAGTCTCCAGTATTGGAAAGGTGGGCAGCTGTTTATAGGAATGTTGATAACCCAAAGGTTGATATTCCTCGATGCATTTTTATAAAGTACGGACTCACATCAAATCATTGTATGATAAGGTATACATGTATTCTGTGGGGGGGGTGATTAATCTTAATATATTTATTTTTCTTTGCCTCGGCTTTTTTTTATCTCTCACGCTGCTATTTCACGCTTGGTGTTACTTCATAAATATTAATACTCAAATTGGCAACCATTTTTGATACTTTTGATTTAAAGCTTTCGTGACTGCAGGTATTCATATTCTTGGCTCTGAAAAAAAATTATTGCTGTGGTTTTCACACCTGATGATGATTGCTTGTGTTGCAGTCGAAACGTCGTGAGAATTGTATTGTTTATTTTTTTATTTTTTTATTGTTTCCCTTCTACGTGACTTTACCGAAAGAACCAAGAATATACATTTTTGATACATTAACGAAACACAGAAGGAAATGCTTTTTTCCGGAGTTTTCTTTATAACGGTTGTAATTTGTGATTGCACATTAGTGAAGCGTTGTTTGAATATATAAAAAAACAATTTAAGTTAAAAACACACAAATTAGGTGGAAATAAATGGAGATGTATTTGTTAGAGTAGCAACTATGATGAATCCATAAAACGTACATTTTGTTTAACTCTTTAATTTACCAGGTTAAAGCCCACTGAGATATCATCTCTTTTTCAGAGGCGACATGGCCACATGCTATAGCTCATCGCAGTGGCTGATATCATCACGTGTGGGGATGTATCGTCGCAGCCAAATAATCTAAACGCACGTTTCTAAATGTGGAGAGATAAACCGGAGGTACCTTGAGAAACATCCACGCAACCACGGGGGGGAGAGAACACGTGAACTCCACATATTACGGCCCTCCTCCATACCTGGCGAGAGCGATAACATATTTTCACCGTGGTGCCCAGGTATAACAAGGTTGTATTGTGAATCTTTTAAGAAATAATTTACTCCGCGTGTGTTAACTGCATATGACATTATTGATTTGCGCCTCCTCTGCTATAAGGTTGTTTTAGCACTGTGTCTGATTAATAATTGACGTCCTTTGGTAAATCAACTTCTGGATGGAAATAATAAAAAAATTAATGTTGGTCATGGGGCTTGTTTGACCATACTTCACAACGCTGGTGCACATGGGCTCAGACATCACTCTTCGTCGTTGTTAGTTGTGGCTGGGAAGCAAACACAGGTCACTGGGCTTATGAAACATTGTGCTCTCCACTGTGGGTCTTCCTACCCATTCCCTCAAAAGTGCGTTGTAATTTAGACGTGTTTATGTTATTTACCGCTTTGGACACATTGTGCATAATTTGTTGCAAACCTTAGAATTTGGTTAAGAGAAAGTGGAGGTATATATGTATAACATAGGAGTGGGTGAAATTTTTTGCCCTTCAAATATATACACGAACACAACTGTTACATGCAGAACATGTGTACCATTATGAAAAAATAAGAATAGGTTTTACCCTTTCTGGAAATAAAACAGGTGTTAAGGGACCGTCCATAAATGACGTCACGCGATTTTGGACAATTTTTGACCCCCCCCCCCTCGTCACAAAATAAAACATGCTTCAAATCGCTTTAAACTATTGTCATTGTAGTGCGTATTTAATGTGCCGCTGCACTCTGATGTTGTAGGAGAACACATTTATTAAAAAGTCCATTTAATTAAGTAGAACGTGTTGTCTATATTTATTTAAAGTTGCGCATTTTGATGTGACGTCACATTTATCCCCCCCCCCCTCCTCGTCACACATCGTCACAAATGTCTGACACCCCCCCCCACCCCAGGTGCGTGACGTCATTTATGGACGTCCCCTAAGATGTTCAAACACCAAATAAAACCATTTCGCAAGGAGTCGAGTCTGCATCAATCACACGTACTTCTGGTTAAAATGCCAACAATGTTTGTGTACCATTGCGTCCTGATCTTTAATTTGTGTTGCCTTGATGTCGTACGACAAAGAACAACAACAAAAAACGTGCCAGCGCTAAGAGTAGGACAATTTGTGCAGAATGTCCACGATGATGATATACCAGGGGTATTTTTTTCTTTTTTGTATCTTTACAACTGGAGTGCCGTCCTTTGCAAGCGAGAGGGTCGTGTAAAGTAGCCTGCAAGAAGCGACGGGGCCTTTCCTTGTGGCCAGTGTACATTTTCGCTTTGATGATTCACGGCGGCTTACGTCCGTGCTGCTCCAAGCCGCTCGGCCTGCTGATCGGCAAAGCTGGGGTTCCATGCGAGACAGGCTTACGCTCCTCAGATAGGATGGATTCACTGTTTGCACGCTGTGCACAGGTCTTGCTCCGGGATACCATGAATGTCACAGTTCACGGAGCATGAAGACAAATGCAGGCACTCTCTTTCACCCTGTGGCTCGCGAGCCCCGTACTTAAGGCTGTCAATCAGGCCTACCTGGTAAACCATGGAGACCATACCTATGCCAAGCTTGTCAGAGCCTTTTACAGTTTTGTGCAAACACCATGTTACGCTGCCCTTAAAAATATATTTTTTCCAGTCGAGTGCATTCTACATGAATAAGCAACATGTGCGGTGCATTGGAGTCACAATGTTGCTGGAAAATGTATGGATTTATTTATTGTTGGTCTCTCTCAATGCAGTCTTTTCCAGTGTCTATACCCATGAGTGCTTTAGTGTCAAGAGTATCCAATTTGAAATCGTGTGCCCCTTCTGCATACAGTCTGTCACCCACCAAAAATATCTAACCATGGCCCATTCTTGCCATGTGAAGTGAATTGCTTTCTAAATGTTTCTCGTTCGATAAGCGAGATTTAACTGTATAAGGGAAACACATTTGGGATACGAGTTTTATATAAAAAGCGCAATGTTGCTTTTATTATCAATTTTTATAATGAATATATATTTTTGGGAATTATATTTATGAATGGATGTTACTTATATACACAAAACGTTAAATGTAACATAAATTGCAGAATAGTGTACCTCTGCCTGTATTAATATCTACAAGATAGAGTATATGTTCTTGATGTAGAAAAACATCGTGAATAGTCGTTCTGAATGTTAATTAATTCGTAGAATATTGCTGTGTACAACATGTGTAAAAATAAGAAGCATGACAGGTTAATTAAAATACTTTAATAGAAACAAATTGGTGCCAAATACACTCTAATTGTATACAGCTAGGCTTACAGAAATATTTACTCAACAGTTTGGTATCTGCTCATTTACCATAGTAACCATACAAAACATCATCTCTACGACAACTTAAATGTCACTTACGGTGTGATGAAACAAAATTTCAACAGCTCTCAGAACTAAACCGAAGCCAATAAAGCTATAAAACATTGACACAGAAACATTTAAAGTTCTAAGAGCAAAAAAACCAAAACAAACCAGTGAAAAAACGTTTAATGCCTAGACTAAATGTAACTATGTTTGTATTACATTTGGCACATACACATTATTTAAGTTTTTTAAAGATGAGAAATACAAATGTGCCTGCAGGTTTGATACAGCAGATACATTGAACTGTAGTTAATGATAGCTATCATTAACGTTGCGTTCTCAATTAGTGCAGGCTGACTCATTACCACAAATCCTCTTACAACTTAAGGTTTCTCCCATTGAATTATTATTTTGTAATTGATGACCTCACGATAATATGCCCTCCTTTCTCAAACCTTTTCCCCCAGAGGTGTTGCTTACTATGTACAGTACATACACATATTGACTTTGTCATGCAAAATATGCCTTATGAGTTGCCAAAGCTTCTGCTTGTGGAAACTCATGCTGAAGGGGACATGCCACTTTGGCCCATATCCCAATGTTGGAACGTCTAAGTTCATGTTTTAATAGTCAACGAATGTTCACATGGCTTAAGGTGCTTTCCCAATGTTATATATTACACACACACAGCACTCGGTCAGCGGCTCAATAGTACAAATGCTTCAACTTCTAATGCTGCTTGTCTCCAGAAACTTAAAAGAAAACAATTACACAACAACTGTTTTTATCGTACACTGATATTCACTCAAGTGTGTAATGGCTTAAGTGATAACATGACAATACAATACTAAATGCAATGCTTCTCAGGTTAGCACATGTTGTTTGAATAAAAACTGCACTTCAAAGATCTTTAAACAATACCACAATCAGCCTATGCAGTCTAGTTTCGGCATTAATAATATTTGTTATTTTTATCATGTTACTTTTTATATATGTACATGAAACTCAAAATCTAGATGCTCGACGTTTGTCAAACATCAATAAAATATATTCTTTTTCGCCTACGTGTTTGTATTTTACACGATTATTGTACGTGGCTTGCTGTTAGGTGATTGGGACGTCTTGACGATACTTGCTTCAGTTTAACTCTGCGATCCCAATAGATGCTCAAAAGTTTGATCATCTTTACTTGTCCATATAGTCTTGATGGGAACATTCAGCCTCTTCAAATTTCAACAGTATTTTCAGTGTAGGTGCATGGACCTTCCCTTAGGATAGAAACTCACATTGAAACATTACACATTTTCAGGCTTGGGTTGTCCAGGGTTTCATTTTCACTCCACATGTGGTGGGAAACCTGTTGGCCAATGTATTTTCAGGATTCCCACATCAGGCGTGACCAGTACTGCTGATGTGGTGATTTATACTGTTCTGTCATGCATAATTCATTTTTATGACTCCATCTGACTTGGGAAGTCTGGAGTAAAACCACACGAACACATTTTCATCCAAACGGTGGAGTAAAAATTTAACCCAATGCCCTTCCAAAACACCACTTCCTAACAGTCCTAAGGGTAACTTTCGAATGCAATACACATGCAGTATATAAAGCTGGTATTCAGAAACTCATACCAATCAAAATGTTTTAAATTAATACCGTGGTGAAAATAAATGCACTTGTATTGTTGTACCTATTTCAAAACATGGATCAAAATTGGTATTGACGAAATGTTTTGCTTATATTTATTCATGCTAAGGCGACAAGTGGGAGGTGCAGGTGTGAGGTGGATTATAACAGCACATGTCCGTGAGCCTCTAGGGAGGCATTCATCCAGCAGTGGATAATGCTGCATACTCATTTATTTTGGATATTTTTCTTTCCTTCCGTATGTTGTGGAACTATTCTTGTTGTCAACCGAAATTATGTTCAATGCCAACATTCTAAGGGTCTTTTGTCAAAGAGATGATGAAATGCTTTTGAAGTTTTTGTTGTTGGTTTGTTTGTTTTGAATGCAGTGGTGCATAGACATAGACACTACAAAGTAAGAAACCAATTATATATATATTTTTTAACGTTCTCCCATAAGGGTTATTGGAAATAAAGATAATGCGCACGTTAGAATGTGTGTATGCACATGTGGGTAAGGGGAGCAGTAGCGCAGTGATTAGAGCAGGGCCCTACGAACTCGGTGGACCTGAGTTCGATTCCCGGCCACGGCTAACATCCGTGATTGATTATCTCAACCGGTCCTGGGCCTCCCCTAGGTTGACTCAGTGCTTGGCGCAATGTGCGAACATCAGTTCCTGGGATAGACAAAGGCAGCTGGGAGTGGTGTTGGCCACATCATCTCCTCGTGCGCTATGCCGGCTTTAATTGGTGCTCACTCGTGGCATTTGCCCCAACAGTCTGCATGGCCGGAGGGGTATAATCTTAGTATGCGTTCACGTACGGTACATACACACGCACTCATCCACTGCTCCGAGCTGCCCTGTTTGATATTGGCACCATCACCCTCTCGTGTACCATTGCCAGCCTTTAATAGGTGCTCGCTAACAGCACTTTACCCAACAGTCTGTACGGATAAGGGGATAAGGGGGGTGGGGGGAGATCATTGTCTTTGTACACACACAACGGTTCTAGAACTCCTGTTTTGCTTTTCCACGCCACTCTTTTGATTTCTCTCGGCTGGATTACCTCTGCTGCTCGGCGATGCCGTGCTGCGACGCAGCCTGCACTATGCCTGGGATGAGGTTGTCGGCAGTGGCGTGCTGCTGCTGCTGCTGCTGCAGGGGCAGGGGCAGAAGCAGCGCGGTACGCGGTGACGGTGCTGACGGGGGCAGCCCCGGCAAGTGCCGGCACGCCTGGGACCCCTGCGTGGAGAGGGCCGCTCCGTGAGCCGACAGCATCGCCTGCGCCGGGTGAATTCCGTGGTCGGCCACCGGAGATTGTGAATAGTAGGACAGCTGCTGGTGCTGCTGCTGCTGCTGCTGGTGCTGCTGGTGGTGCTGCTGCTGTGCGGACTCCTCCGGAGGAGAGGCGGGAATTGGCTCGTATCCAGGCGGAGCACTCAGTGTTTGCAGAGGGATCTGTAACGGCAAATCCGACTGTCAATCAACGCAATGAGTATGACCATATTAGCCCTAGAGACGATTATATGGTGCACTTTATCAAGCCCGGCTGCAGGCAAGGTGCCAGTTTATGAATTTAATCTCAACGCCCGGGCCGTATACTCTGAAGCTCTGCGGTGTGTTCCTTCACAGGACGACCAATCGTAGAAATAAAATAAAATCAAGGCGAGCTTTAAAGATACAATTGTTGAGCTTGTAAAGTAACCCTAATTAATCTCTCAATATTCTTACATTTGTCATAGATCAGTATCATAAAAAAAAAACATTTGCAGGCTTAAGCGAAAGTGAAAAACACATTTAGGTCTCTAAAATAATAATGTGATTTTTTTATGTACAAGAATAAAAATAATCAATGTATTATTGTGTTCAAAAAAATAAGAGCACATTTGCTAGTTTTCCGTCTTATACCTTGTGATGGAGTAAATTACTTTGAAATTGTCTGCAGGGAGCTCATAAAACCAAAGACTATCAAATATCAGCTGTCAATCACTCACAATCGTTATCAACATGTGAATGTGTTTTTCAATACTGATTTTGTGATGTGTTTGATTATAAGTCGAGAAATATAATTTAATATATGCTGGGATTGGTTTGTTCTCACATGGTACATACTTTCCAAGTGCTTCTGCTGTAGAATTCAGAAATGTACGGGATCGTTCTTGGTGCACTAAATATATTCCGTCCGGCTTTTGCGGCATGGTTAATGGTAGCAAAATCATTTCATGTATCATTGCCTGTGGTACATTGTGATTTAAGAAAGGCAGACCACTAAGTACATTTGCCTTATATTAAAGTAGCCAGAAATATGTTGGAAAGCCTTGCATTTTCAAAAATTACCCTTCCGCCGGTGTCCATGTATTGCTAACTGACAAGTTAATATTACTAGTCCAGAATGGGTCATTATACCATCTCTGCGGAATACTTGAGCGTAAAAAAAGAACTGATAAAGTCCATTAACCGAGGCAATTAAAACTCACTTCTACTCCCCTATAAAGTATATATTTAAAGGCACTACATTCTGTGCATCATTTTAAATCGGACAATGTTCTCAATAATGAGCAGGATAATGGAATTTTAATGTCTTCACTTTTCAGAATAAATGAACATGAATTACATTGCAACTAAATAATAATAATTACATACGGCAAGTCTTGAACAGCGCGTGGTACTTGGGATGCAGCAGTTCGGGTAAAACCTTAAATATACGGATGTCTCCCTTGGAAGTGGGGCTCGCTGGCAGCCACTCCTCTGCCACTCTCATGATGATATTGACAGCTGATGAATGCTGCATCTGTTGCTGTTAATTGAGGTTGATCTCGTTGGCCACTTTTGTAAAGCAGACCCGGCTGCACCTTGAGACCATGATTGACTATTCAGTCATTTTGTAACTTTCGTTTGCAATTACCTGGAGGATTGAATTTGGCAAGCCATGCTTTTCTCATTCAAGCAGTGTACACATGCGGGTATGCACAGACATGCACACAGGGGTGAAACGAATGCATGCTGAAATGTTAATACCGTGCATGTTTAATGTAGGATATACATCTTGGGTTATATATTCTTGGTTCTTTCGGTAAAGTCACGTAGAAGGGAAACAATAAAATAAGAAAAATATAAAACAATAAAATATAAAACAATGAAATTGTATCTACGTGACTTTACCGAAAGAACCAAGAATATGAATTCCTGCAGTCACGAAAGCTTTAAATCAAAATCTTGGGTTATAGTTAAAGTATCTTTGCAAGGTTTATTGGAATGCTATAAAGAATGTGAATATTAGGAAATGTTGACTGCATCGTGCATATATACAGTAATTACTGTACAGTATTATAAATGTCATAAATTACAAAGGGGATTTTTTTTTTAAAGGTACAAATATTTTTGACATAAATATCGGAACAGATGTTTTTTGTTTCTTTACACAGCAGGTGTGGTCACCGCAGGTAATGTCAGCTGCATGGAAAATGCTCAATTAAAATATTCAATTGTCCACATTGGTCACACAATGGGGCTGAGAAAACTGTAAACACTAGGATGGCACAAATATGGCGTGCCAGTTAAAGGGCAGATTATCTACATGCCTATGTACACACCGTTGCACAACAAATAATTTACGACCGCTATATCTTCACACGCTTCTCCAACCCACATTGACCATGGGGGTAAAGTTTTGTCAAATAACGCCTATGACCCGCGTGGTACGAGGATCCCGTTATCCAGAATTGTATTGGCTTAACGTGTATATGGTAGTCGAGGCTCAAAAGAAAGCCGTCCCTTGGTGTGGACCAATCAGTTTCAAGGACAATGCATCATATTATCATAGCATGTGTTTTTGTTTGCATTTTGACTGCAGGTATTGTGGTTAATGCAGACATGAATCCTCGTAAAAAGGTTTCAGTTTTGTTGCCAGAAAAAAGGGGAAAAACCCCTATTATTATGATGTCGTTTACTCTAATATTTTCATAGAACCAGAGTCATTGCATTTTAATTCTATAAGACAAAACAACAACACCAGCAGACATACAAAGTGTATAATTACCCCACATTCGTTTGCAATGCTATTGACATTTTATCTAACCTTCGTGCATTGATTCATGCACATTAAAGTAAATATTACTGTAAGTGGAGGTTGGGGGGTGGCTCTGCGTCTGTACAAATCAATTGGCACGTCATGGGCACAGACCTTGTGTGTGTTTTCAATGCAATCTCAAATTTTAGGGGTGATGAGCAGATGCATTCGATTAGACTTTCACTGAGCGAAAATGCATCTGGTTTGTAATTTGTCTCCGTTCTCGCCGCTCTGCAGCATGTCTTGCGGCAATTTTGAGACGAGGGAATTCCCAGAAAGGCCACTGTATAATCTGAAGAGGCACCTCCTCAAGTAAACTCGGGAATGCATGATCTTTCACTGGCCAGGTTTGGAAGACACTCTGGAGCGAAGGCAACAGCGAACTGTAAAGGGCACATGCTAATCATAAACCCTCGTGCGCACATCACTGATGCTAAATTCCCAGCCACTGGTAATGTGAAATAATGAGTGCTTGGGACATTCTGCATATCTAAAATTGCTGTAGCTATAGGCTTTCAGGCGTCCAGAGATAATTTACCGTACTTCACGTTCACATAATTATATACGTTGAGCACAATGTTTGCCCTTCCAATTACCTAAACTGTAAATGATTTTGGAAGTCAATTATTTTGAATGAACACAGTCTCATATATGTTATTCTCATTGCATTTTTAATTGGTTCGTTTAATGATATATTGTTTCGAGTCAAATAAGTACCGTTGAACAAACATTGTAAGTGCCTAAACGATTATGTATGTTGAATGTTTCCAAGAACGTTGGCTTTAAGCTTTATAATGACATATCTAGCTACACTAACGGAAAAGCATTAAAACATTAATGCGGAATGCAAAATGACTCATTTACATGCATCATAACCAACTTAAATTCGATGGCTGCTCAAAGGTTTTAAGTGGAATATTAATAAAGCCTGCATGGTTTCACACTTACTACTCTTGTTTAAAAAAAAATTCGCTTCCCTTAACGCATAATTGCATTATTAATACGCGAAAGACCCAAAGAATATTAATACACCCCGTAGGATAGGAGATTGTCAATGTGCAGGTTGCATAAAGTGGGGTAAAGTGTGAGTATTTTCACCTCTTTAAACACTTTTATCCAGCAATATAAAAGCAGGCCAAATGCCCTCTAGAGGAGCTCTCTAGAGGACCCTCTAGCAGATGCCCTTTCACCAGCAGCAGCAGCAGCAGCATGAGCTGGAGCGAGCAATTTCAGACCGGCACCTTTACCTTCAACCTAGTCATCACCACATTGCGCGTTTTCGAATGCGTTTCTGTTGCCACCTGGAACGCCTTTCCTTCCAATATTAGAAGCCACTGGATCTATGAACTTTTAAATCTAGATTGAAAACATTTCTTTAGAACTGCTTGTTATGTTTAGTTTCTTGCGCTTTGCCCGCACCTCCGATTAGCACGGTTGGCTATGGAGAGTGTGAATCAAGTTCAACATACATACGCAGAATCGGACATATGCCTCACATTAGCTCATTGCAACATATTGTTTCTTTTCTTTTTAAATCAGTTTGGAACATCCCCCCATTATGTATCACCTTTGAAATTGTAACCTGATAATGGATTTCAAACTAAATTAAATTCGTATTGCCTCAGGAATATTGCCTATAGATATATGTAAGTTTACACATTACAGTGAGGGAAACAAGTATTTGATCCCCTGCTGATTTTGTACGTATGCCTACTGACAAAGAAATGCTCAGTCTATAATTTTAATGGTAGGTTTATTTGAACAGTGAGAGACAGAATAACAACAAAAAATCCGGAAAAAAGCATGTCAAAAATTTTATAAATTGATTTTCATTTTAATACAGGTAACGAGCTGAGATTAGGAGCACTCCCTTTAAGAGTGTGTTCCTAATCTCAGCTCGTTACCTGTATAAAAGACACCTGGGGGCCAGAAATCTTTCTAATTGAGAGGGGGTCAAATACTTATTTCCCTCGTTAAAATGCAAATCAATTTATAACATTTTTGACAAGCGTTTTTCTGGATTTTATTGTTGTTATTCTGTCTCTCACTGTTAAAATCAACCTACCATGAAAATTATAGAATGATAATTTCTTTGTCAGTGGGCAAACGTACAAAATCAGCAGGGGATCAATTACTTTTTTCCCTCACTGTATGTGAACAAGCAACTGTATGAAAATTGTACTGTTATAACTGGATGGGATTATGCCAGAATGACGAAAACTCCGTATTTTCATCAATAATAATAATGCCTTAACAGGGCGAAAATTATAATAGGTGACACTTCAGGAAATGGTCCTTCTTGACCCTTCATCATAGCAGAGGGATTCCATTTAGGGAAGTTTAATTGATAGATGTGTTGAGTTCTTTGCGATTTGTGCTTGTGTACAAT